TCATGCTTTAAAATGTAATCAGCCTCTCCCCCAATAATCTGCTTGTAGAGCAGGATGAGGAGAGTAAAAAAGAACAAAGAGGTTGTTAAAAAATGAATCAAAGACAAAAAAGAGGCTTGTCAGTAAGGAGACAAGAAACACTGAGATGTTTCTCAAGATGGTTATAGTCACTTTTGGCTCAGGTTTTTGACACAGTTTTAGAACAAGCCAACAATTGGGACCCAAACAGACTGACATCAGAGAATGCAGCCTTGGACAAGTAAAATAATGCCCAATTTCCTACAACATAAATTTTAGTTAGGTAAAAATATACAAATATATGAACTGATGTCCACCCAGTATATAAGAATATATAAAAGGCTACTTAAAATTGATTTCACAAAGCCTATTTTTCTAGCTTGCTATCAGTACCTAATGTTCTGTGTGTACCATGTTTAAGTTCAGCTTCAGTTTTAAGCAAGTCTTCATTGGAAATTTAATTTAAGAATCTCAGAAGTATAGCTGGAAAGTCACATTATTGGTCACAATTACAGTACCAACTATTGACTAGCTAAAGATTATCAAATGTGTTTTTGCATAAACATTCATGTGCTGGATGTAACTTCCTCAGATGCATAAAAAATTATCTCCACTAAGAGATATGCACAGGCAAGGATGCAAAGAGAACAAAAATGTCAGAAGGAAATAAAAGGTGTACTATTTTCATTCTATTTTTATCTGATGTTACTGCTTGCTTGCATCCCTCTCCCACATTTTCTATTTCTAAAGGGAAAGAGCCATCAGGGTCTCATCAATCAATACACTATGGAGGATGGAGAGGATATTATTTTTGCAAGTCTCCAGATTTGAACAGCTATTTTACATGGGGAATAAACTAAGTCATGCAATTTAATGCAAGATCTAATTTGATTCTAAGATGCAACAAAATTATGACGTGGTTGTCATAATAATGGTTTTACTGTTAAAGCAGGGAACAATTTTTTCGATGAAGGAATTCCACTCAGTACAAAAGCTTGCTAGAATTTAAGCATTTCTTGTATGGCATACCTGAATTTGAGACGGACAAGCACAACTCGATAGATGTGACTTGCTGGAAAATGCCTTCTTTGTCCAGGTGATAGTAAAACAGGATGAATAGCTCCTACCACATATCCTTTATTATAATACTTCTCCACATTCTTTGCAATATCCAAAATAGAGCATATTTTGATAATTTCTGGATTTGAGATAACTAAAAGGATTAAAACAACAGAAACACTTGATATAGAATTCAACATTTAAAATAACTTTTTGTAAAGATTAAGTTGTACAGTTGTACAACAATTCATTATCACCAGAGGGGTCCACTATTCACTTCAGATATTTGCTAACACTATCTCCCTTCCAAAGTCCTGCTGCCCTGCCTCATCATAGTGGTAGTAGTAGTGCTCCTGGGAGGGATATGTGAAAAGTCAGGATTGGATGCTNTTTATTTTGATCAACAATCCAGCAGATGACACTAAAACATAATAAAAAACAATAGTGTTCAGTTTTGCATCACCTATTGCCTGATTTTCATTGCGGTCACACAAATTTAGTTACAATATAGGAGATTAATGGTTTTGTTTACTTGTTATTATTTACGAAACAATCTGAAAGGAGGTTTACATAATAATCAGTACTTCCTGAGAATTGCTGCGACAGAGGCTAGATATAATTATTTTGAGTATCCTATGGAAGTTATATTAACATGGTGTACAGTTTTTATCTGCTCAGGTTTGCAGGGGCAGTGTGTTGGGCTAGTGGGGTTTTAGAGGGAAGGACGCTGTATCTTCCTTTAAAAAGTTTTTCACAAGTTGGGAAAGATAAGAATCTTTAATATTTGGGGGATTCTTAAGTCTCCTTGGCAACCTCAGTTCTGGGCTCTGGGATAATTGTTGACTTCCATTTGATACTCCATGTCATTTAACCTTTGAAAGAATATTTGTTCAGCCATTTTTTATCCTAAAGACAGTAAGAATGGAGAGGATAATACATATGATGTTATGTTTTGTTCTGTTGTAGTTTTCCAGATGGAAAATAATTGTTAAAAAAAAGTAGAGGGATTACATTTTTCAATTTGGATAGTTTGTCCTTGCTGAAAAAAGGGCCGATAAACACAAGGATACATGAGAAAGGTTTATGAACACCTCCATATATGGTTGTACTGTTTGATAATCCTTCTCTTAAGCTATTGTTCTTAAAAATTGATTCTTCTATAGTTTGAGATAGCTACATAGTGCATGTAGATGATATAGATGATGTGTTTAAATACCTTCTTTTTCCTTGAATTTATTTGGGCTGGGACAGCCTTCTCTTCCATCTTGAAAATCAGTTTTTTGTACTGGCTTGACATCCGGGTGAATTTCTTCCTGTATTCCACTCTCAGAGGATTGACCACTCAGTATCCCTTCATTCAGGATTCTAACATTTTCCTCTGAATCATGGTTCCTCTGCTCTCTGTTCCTTCTGCATAGTGTCGAGTCAGACTCCATATCTTCACCCAGATTTGCACCATTGCAGATTTTAGATTGAGAGCAAGACTGGGTTATAAACCCAACAAACTTCATTCCTCTTTTAGCAGCATCATTGACCTATATTTTTCAAAAAGACAGTACTAATTCAGTGGGGTGGATATGCATATTGTTCACTAAGAAAAAGTACAGCTAATTTATGTATGATGGTTTTATGTGGATACACAGAAAGAAATATACATTGATATATAAAAATAGCACATCTATTTTACTATGAATGTTATGAAACAGCCACCTATTCAAGAATTTCAACTAACTGTAAAACATGTATCTTCGGTTTTACAAAGAGCAGGATATATGGAGTCTTTCTTTTGCCTATTTGTACCTGGGTAAAAATTAATGATATGTAAAGGGATTTTTTAATGTTATTTATTTGTGCCTTTGAGTCAGTGTTGAATCCTGACAAGAGCCTGCACAAATCCCCACAGTTTACTTGCAAAATTTCAGAATTGGTTTGCCATTCTCTCTGTCCTAGACCCAACAGAGAAGGGCTGGCCCAAGGACACCCAGATAGCTTCTTGCTTAACTCAGGACTAGAATTCACAGTCTCCCAGTTTCTAGCCTGATGCCTTAACACTTCTTAATTAGCTCTTAAAACACACTTGAAATGTCTTAAACATCAATGCAAAGGTTTAATAAATGCTGATGTTCTGGAATTATTTATGTATATTTCATCATTATTATTTTTAGAAATATTTCAAGGTGGCAAACATACCTAACACTCCTTATTCCTTCTATTTTCCCCACAACAATAATTCTGTGAGGTATGTTGGGGTGCAAGAGAGTGACTAGCCC